TGCACGTATACAGGAATCTGCACTGCACGAGCAAGCACATTGATGTCACACAGCACCACACTCAATCCAATGCCAAACCAAGTGTGACATATCACATGGCCATAAATCTTACTGTAGTTTCAGGAATTCTCATTACATCTGAGATGCAGTAACACACTCAATTTAACAATGCAGGGCTCACAGTGTTTCCATGCATCAAATTGTAGCCAGAGTGAAAACCATCAAGATAAATTAAAAGGACCACTGTCAAATGCGTATCAAAAATTCTCAAGTGGTAAGAACTCTAAATATATATAACATCTGTGACCATACTCAATCTAGACATTAAAAAGCATATAAAAAGGCCGGGTGTGACGGCTCATGCCTGTAATCTCAGCACTTTGGATCACCTGAGGTCAGGAGTTCAAGACGAGCCTGGCCAACACGGCAAAACCACATCTCTACAAAAAATACAAAAATTAGCTGAGTGTAGTGATGTGGGCCTGCAGTCCCAGCGACTTGGGATGCTGAAGTGGGAGGATCACCTGAGCCCAGGTGGAGGTTGCAGTGAGCCAAGATCATGCCACTGCACTCCAGCCTGGGTGGCAGGGACCTTGTCTCAAAATAAATAAATAAACAGCACATAAATAGAATGACAATAAAGGGCACTCTGAACAACTGGTTGTCAAAACAATGGTTTTATAAGAATGCTTTAGGATAACTCCTCACTGTTCTGAGTCTATAGAAAGTAAGAAAAAAATAAAAAATGAAATTCACCCAAGCTGTGGTCCTATTCATAACTTTCCTTCCAGAAAATGTAGTTCTGAAAAACACGTTCCTAAATCACATTTCACTATGTACCAGAGGATTGGGAAGAGTATTTCATGATCTATTCCTGCATCTTGAGCAATACAGAAAACCACCAAGTCCTAGAAAGCTTCTGCTTTACTTGCTTGCTGGGTTAGTATCCTACAACTGACAGGTGAATTTAAATAAACAAATGTTTAGAGAATAAAGCTCCCAAGAAACTGGCACTGGGCAAGAATGGTGGCTCGCATCTGTAATCCCAGCGCTTTGGGAAACCAAGGCAGGAGGACTGCTTGAGTCCTGGAATTCAAGACCAGCCTGGGTAAGACAGTGAAACTCCATCTCCTCAAAAAATATAAAAATTGCCAGGCATGGTGGCATGCACCTGTAGTCTGAGCTATTCAGGAGGCTGAGGAGGATCACTTGAGCCTGCGACGTCAAGGCTACAGTGAACCATCATGACATCACTGCACTCCACACTGGGTGACAGAGCGAGATCCTGTCTCAAAATAAAATAGAGAAACCGTCATTGATAATGGAAAATCCAAGTATTAGGAACCCAAATCATACAATGTTTTGTTCAGCTGTGTGTTCAGAAAGTTTAGGCAAACAAAAACATAGCTGGCTTCTGGCAGAGAAAGTGATTCACTTTCATTCTTCAACTACGGACAACCTGCAGATGCTAAGAGTTTGGTAACTGCCTTGTCATACACCCAGACATGTTCAATAAATGAGATGAAAAGGCAGCTATTAAATGTTAAAAGGACTGATCAAATCAAAGTTTAATCATAATTTGCAGAGAATAACAACAAATAGCAAGCCTTCTTAACACTGCATGGTTTCTCCTAGTTTGTCGGGGCCTGCAGAAGAAAGTGCCCACACTGACGTGCCTTGAGAGCCCATCTCTTCCCTACAGATGCATGTCCTGCTGGGCAGGGACGTCTTCATCTTAAAAGCATTTCTTATCCCATCGCTGTGCTTCTAGACACAAGGTTCTAGGGACAAATGTTTCCGGGTGATTGTGTGAAGCAGCACACAGATGCATCACTGCTGAAAATACAGATGTGCCCAAGGACAATCATAATCCTGTCTTATGGTTTGTCCCTGTGTTCCCACCCAAATCTCGCCTTGAATTGTAATATTCCCCACATGTCCAGAGAAGAACCAGTTGGAGACAATTAATTGATGAGGGCAGCCCCCCCGTAGGTCATTCTCACAACAGTGAGTGAGTTCTCAGGTGGAGAGCTGATGGTTTTTAAGGGGCTTCCTCCTTTGCTCAGCACTCATTCTCTCTCCTGCCACCCTGTGAAGAGAGACCTTCGGCCATGATTGTAAGCTTCCTGAGGTCTCCACAGCCATGCAGAAATGTGAGTCAATTATACCTTGGCTCACTGCAACCTCCGCCTCCTGGGTTCAAGTGATTCTCATGCCTCAGCTTCCCTAGTGGCTGGGATTACAGGTGTGCACCACCATGCCCATCTAATTTTTGTATTTTTAGTAGAGACGGGTTTCACCATGTTGGTCATATTTACTATCATATCCCAGAAACACATTCCGTGATGGTGATATTTGGTCTTGATATTGACTGAATACTGACTTAATGTCTGGCCAGTCAGCATTCCTTCTGAATATATATGCTATGTACATCTGCAATATGAACAATGAAATTCCGAGCAGCCAATGAAAGAAAAGCCAGCAAATCTGTGTCCCATGAGTAATGAAAATCTGACTGTGATTTGCAAACATTAAAGGTTATCTAAAAAGGAAAGATAACATCACATACTGGAATAGTCAAAGGGTCAAAAGCTAATGCAAAACGCTTAATTCGCCTTTTCATAGCATTATTTAAGATAATGTTTTTCTTTTCTGAGAACTTAATACCTCAAAGTTAGTAATTTGAAATACGAAACTAACAATTTGCTTTAATGACTCTTCCATTTGTAAGTTAACCAAAGGACTGGCGCCTCCGGAGTACTCCAAGCATCTTCACAAGACGCTGTCAGCACAAGGAATCACCTTCATACAACTGAGACTAGATATGAGCCATGAGGAACCGGTAACCCAGAGGGCACCTCCAGGACAGGTGAAGAAAGAGGTAGTCCCAGAGCAGCAGTACGCTCAGGTGCTGAAACTCGGAATGCTACACTGGCTGGGGCAGTCTCTACTGGGAAGTACCAGGAGGTAACCAGTCTGTAATGGAAAATACCAGTAGATCACTTAACAGGAGACTGTCGTCCGGCTAAGTGTGTCCTTTTCCTGAAGGCAAAGAAGCCACTCTGCAGCAGTTTTGATGAGAGAAAGCAAGGGCTGTAACATGGAGCTGGCAGAAGTGGCGACATAAAGGAAGAGGCTGGATGTACCAGGAAGAGTTCGCTGAACTCAGCGACTCAGGAAGCTGCAAATCGCATGAAAACTTGCATACCAATGCAATGTTGATAAAAGCACCGGGTATTAGAACATTCGGACTTCTGCAAAGTAAACCCAGGCTCTTTCATGTTAACAGTAAATGCACTACCAAGAAATAGAACTCAAGTGACAGAGACTGAGATCCCAAATATTCGAGATGAAGCATTGTGGTACCTACCAACTCAGTGGCTGTGGAACTTCAACTTTCTGACCATCCACCTCCAGGTCCTCCAATTCCTTGAAATATTTGTTCTTTAAGCAGTGGAGAATCTCTTTTGCATGGCTATTGAAAAACAAGAAAGTTTCAAACTGATCCAAGAAGCTAAGCTAATACGTTGTATCATTTAAGACCGCACATGTTTTAAAACTAAAGCCAACTTTGCACTGAGAGAAAACATTCTTTAGTCACTACTTTTACACTGTATCCCTTCAAAATGTAAGCAATCCACACGGTTTGATTCCTAAGAGCAACACTGCGTTCCTTCTCTCCCAAGTATACCTACAGTTTTAGTTTTACCTCCGACTCATTTAGAAAGATGTACCTACAAAGATGGGGGAGGGGAAGGATCAAGGGGTTTTATGCATTCTCTATAAACGCTCTTACGTTCCAAGAGGTAGGACCCTCAGCTCACCAATCCCCAGGGGCCGCAGCTTCCTCAGATCTCATTTTCACTTCCTTCTCTAACTCTGCACCTGCAATACCTGCGTGACCATTTCACTGGACCCTGTGCTCCCACCTCAATGCTTCCTGAATTCACACCGCTGAAACGCCATGGTTCTCCGGAGAAAACACCATCGCCTTTAACCTGGAACATCCTGGCCCCAACTCCCTAAAAAAACCAGGCAGTGCCACCTTACCTTTTGTAACCAGTAATTCTTAAAGTGGCCGGGAGGGGCTCCCTGAGGGCGTCCATGAACTGGTCCCACTCGCCCTCGGGCACGATCTTGAGCTCCCGGTAGTAGTGCTCAAACAGCTTGTTCTCCTTGACGATCTCGGGATACCCTCCTTCCCAGCCCTGAGGAAGGAAAGGGACTTCTACCCCGAGGCCCGAGGAGCCGCCCCTCAGGCCTCGGCGTCCGGGAGGCCCAGGAGGAGCCCCAGACCCACCCGCCCGCCGCGTCCCGGCTCCTACCGCCTCGCCGCGCTTTCCGCCGCCCTCAGCACGGTCCTCGGCGCTCTCAGGCCGCTGCTGCTGCTGGAGCCGCCGGCACCGCGACCGCCGCCCCATGGCCCACGCGGGCGCGCACGCAGCACGCAAGAACCGGCCCGCCACAACCGCAACCTGGGCCCGACAGCTCCCCGGACTTCCGGCCGGAACCCAAGGCCCCACGTGTCCGGGCCTGGTCCTTTCGGGGGCCTTCGGGGACCGTCCAGAAATAAGCCCAAAGCGCAAAACCCATCTTCCCGAAAAACAGCGTGAGAGGGAAAACCGCGGACAGCTCCGAGGGGGAAAAAGGCTCCAAGAAGTAGCCACAAAGGCTTCTCGTGCGAAGCGCCAGGGTTTCCCACGCGGGCTCAGGGATCTCCCCGGACAGCCTGAGGCCGCGCGTGCGCAGAGCGGAGTGATTGCGGCGGCCCGGCGCGGGCGGGGCGTTTTGCAGGTCCCGCCCCTCGAGGGCGCTCGCTCGGCTCCCTGGGACCGCGCCCCCAGCCTTGACTGCAGGGAAGAGGTCGGAATACATGACCCGTCCCGTCGCGTCCGGGCCGTGCGGACTTCGGGCAGCCGCGCCTCCCGCCCCCGCGCCGCCGCCCTATTTGTTGCCCGTCGCGTCCTCCGGGGCATGGAGCGTGGCACCCAGCCTCGGCGATGGCGACGGCGACGGCGGTGGCGGAGGAGCGCCTGCTGGCCGCGCTCGTCTACCTGCAGTGCGCCGCGGGCTGCTTGCTCCTCGGGCTGAACCAGCACAGCAACTCGCCGTACGGCCGGCAGGCGACACCCAGCTGCAGGCTCCGGGTGCCGGCACGAGTCGCCTGGGCCGTGCAGGAGCTGCCGTCGCTGGCCCTGCCGCTCTACCAGTGCGCCAGCGAGTCCGCCCCGCGCCTCCGCGACGCGCCCAACTGCATCCTCCTGGCCATGTTCCTCGTCCACTACGTTCAACGGTAACGTCCCCGGCCCCCGGCCCGGCGTCCTCTCCAACCCTCCCATCACTGCCCGGTGCCCTCTCCCGGGAGCCTTCCCCTCCCAGACGCCCTCTCCCTGCCGACCCCTCCGCAGCGTCCCCCCTCTGCACGGGTCCCCTTCCCCTGCCGTCCCTGGGATGCTCTCCCTGAGTCCCCCGGCTCCGGGATTTAGAAACAAGGAGGGATTCGTCTAGAAGGAGCGGGAAACCTAAAAGGACTGGATGGGAGTGATGGAAAAAACGGGATGAAACCGATCTGGAAAGAGCCGCTCAGGGGTTCCAGATTTGGTTTCCTTAGCCGGCACGGTGGCACCTGTCTGTTACTCGGAGGCTGAGATGGGAAAATCGCTGGAACCCAGTGGGCAGAGGTTGCAATGAGCCGAGATCCCACCACTGCACTCCAGCCTGGGCGGCAGAGCGAGATCTGTCTCAAAACTAAATAAATAAAAATAAAGAATTAGTAAAAAGATACGCAAACTGAAAATGGAGACTAGATTTTGTTCCCTTAGATTAAGACTGCAGGAGTGCCTAGAGTCTAACGCTGATGGTCTCCAGTCTTGAGGGCTGGTTTCTGCACCTTTCTGCTGGTTTCCCTTTTGGTATCTTTGGTGATGATGGAGCTGTTTTCTCCCAGCCAAGTGATCAGCTGCAACTGGAAACCTGGTATCCTAACACTGCCTAGCAGTTTCCCCATAAAGGCTTGATCACTTTCAGAGACTTTCACTCCACCTTAGGCAGAGGACTCAGGACTGTTGGGTGGCTTTCCAGGCAGTGACCTTAAACCTTAAACAAATGAAGTCTTAAAGAAGACTTCTAAATCTTTCAAGGTTTTGGGGGTTGTTGTTGTTGTTTAGTATTTGAAAACTGGCTTTGTCTGCAATGGCTGGTCAAAAGTTCAAAATCCAATTTTCAATGCTTTCATTCCGTCTCTGGAAAGCTTCATAATTAAAAAGGGTGTCTGCACCCAAGGAAATTGAACTCACTAGCTGTGTAACTATGGGCAGTTTACGCAACCTTTCTGATTTGGGGTCCCGCCTTAAAACACCTACTTCCCAGAGAGACAGGAAGAACTCTCTTCTTTCCCCTGGGGTCATGCATTCCAGTGAAGAGAAGGTACACGGCTCCGCTGCTTGGAACAGTGTTGTACCCAGCACAGTTTTCAGTACCTAAGTTCCCGGAAAGCCAGTACCTCACCCTGTACCTGGTGCAGTCTGTGTCCTCAGTCTGCTCCGATGCAGACAGTTTAAACAGGAAGTTTAAACAGGGGCAAGTCAACATTTATCAGGTGCTTAATGAGTGCTGTGTGCCTGAAACTCTTTACCATTACACAAAGTTTTTGTCTGCTTGAATTTTTTTTTTTTTGTAATGGGATCAAGCATTGCTACAATTTGAATAGTAGTCAGACTTTGCTGCTTGTATATACTTTTTCATAAATATACCTGTATGTCTGTTTCTTTATAGCTAAAAGCAATCTCAGGTCAGAGTATCTGGTGCTGTCCTAGCCCCATTGCACATGACCCGGATGAGTTACCAAGCTGCCCCACACCAAGGTTTCCCCCTGTAGAATGGGCATTGGTGGAACCACCCTGTGGGATCACATGCATTTTAAGCAAGGCAACTCCATAAAGCGCTTGCATGGTGCTGGCGCATCTGGGTGCTCAATGCACAGTACCTAGCACTACTTTGCATTGCTGTGCATGCGCGTTCAGGCATGTTCTCTGTGTGTCATTCATGTACACTGCTGCCAGCCTTGTAAGCCAGCCAAACTGTGGCGTTGGAAATGAAGGAAGCACCTTACGAAGTTTTGTGTGAAATCCCAAGTGGAAGCTTTTTAACTAGAGACATGTTTAATTGTACCTATATTCATTCCAGCAGAAGAATGAATGCAGCCTCCCATAGGGCCAGAGTCACCTTGAGTGATAGACCTTGAACTATCAGCCATACAGAATACAGAATAGAACACGGAGCATACTGGTGTCTTCTCTGAGATGGTTGGATGAGGAGCTGCTGGGACGAAAGCCCACTTCCTACACTAATAGTTTAAAAGCTGCTTCAAGAAAATTGACTGGGTCAGGTATAGTTTTTTTAAACTACTGGGCTATTTTTTTTTTTTTTTTGAGTTGTACATGTTATTGTGTACATAGCTATGTGGTTTGGGGATGTTTACATTTTCCAAATAGAAAAAGATAAACACTTTCCATTCTGTCCAAGCAACTGATTTATTAAACAGTCATTTGACCTAAGTCAGTGAGCACTTGGAAGAGAACCAGAGTGGAAACAGCATTGAGCACTCAGCACAAACCATCTCAGCAGCCCCTGGAAGCGTCTGGAGCCCCTTATTTGCATAGGGTCCTGCAAAGAACACCAGACCCAGTGAGAGGAGGCTGTGAGTACAAGGATGACTCAGGAGAGGCAGGAGAAAGGTGAAACTGAGGAGGTGCTGGCCAGGCAGTAGCACTTTATACAACCTGACAGGTATCCACACAGGCCCTGTGCTGAGCTGTGAGGTTGCACAGGAGTGAGGCAGGGCCCTGCTTGGAGCTACAGCCTCTTTTGGGAATGGTGAGAACCAGAGCCAGGTGCAGGGACTTTGCCCAGTCCATGAGGCCTGAGGTCAGCAGCAGAGATACAGCTCTTGGCAGAGCAACTGACAGTTCCAGGTACTATGAGTACAGGACAGTCAGCTCAAGGAGGGAGGAAAAGTAAAGGGCAGGGTGGAGGGAGCAGTGTGCTTTCATATATTCATTCATCAAACATTTACTGATGACTCATGTGCCAGTGAGGATTTCTGGACCTGGCATTGTACTGGGGATATAGTGACAGCACATTTCCTTTGAGTTGAGGAGTAAAAGACAGGTTGCAGAGAAGCTACAGGGTCTTTTGGACATAAACACAAGGGAGGGAAAGACAGGCTGCCTGGAAGGGAATAGGGCTGGGGATGGAGCCAGGGTCCTGACCAATTCCCCCAGGAGGGCAAACAACATTTTCAGGAACACCTTTAGGGCTCAAGGTATTGGCAAGTATTGCCTGTGCCCTGTCTGTGCTGAAGCCTCCTGTTCTGATCCCAGGGTACCTGGGTTCTTGGGGGCAGAGGCAGCAGCATCTCACTGGGGCCTTAGGTAGCACATGGAGTGGCATCTGGCACAGTGCCAACCTCCTACCAGGCCTTCCTAGGGCCTTCTGTAGCCTGTGCTTACTCCTATCACCTTTGCTCTCCACTCTGTGGTTACAGGGATGTCCCCCCAGCCCCCACATTTACCTTGTTACCTGGCCATCATTTCTGTCGCTAGCCTCTATTCTGTCTCCCTGGGCTGGAGCCGTAATCCAGGTCCTTGTCACCTGTGTTGGTACTTGCTGGGCTTCCTAGCTCCTGCCCACTGGTGTTTCTCTACCATTGCCCTTAAATCCTCCTTTGCCAGACACAGCAGAGGTCTCCTGGAGTCAAGGGCATTAGCTCTGAACTGTGTTGGAGTCACTGGGGGGCTTTGCAGACTGCTGCCTGACCTCAGGCTCTTTCTCTCCACCCAATCAGGTTTGTTCGGTATTATTTGAACCCAGTCTGCTTTGCTTGTGGAGTTTCCCTCCCCACCATCAGCAGTGAATTAGTCGGGGGCTTATCTCTTCATTGCACCTCCATTTAACAAATCACTCCAAGGAGCCTGAGCAGGCGGTGCTGCTTGCCATGGGAGCTCTCACTGCCTTTGTTAGGACTGGTGGCCAGATGGTGCTCAGAGAGGCGGTCAGATGTCCTGAGGCCTCCTCTTTCTGATACCTGCCCCAGGTTTGTACTCAGCCAGGTCCTTGACCTTGTGGGACTTTGCTTCTGTCTTTATCTCTGATGAAGGTGTCTCAAAAAATTACACTGACTTTGATTTCTTATTTCTCTCATGTAATTCTATTAATGGGTTCTTGTGGGATACCCGGCCCAGCTTTACTTCTAAATGTGTTGTGTGTAATGTTGAAACACAGCAGGAAACTTCCAGGGTAAATTATGTTAAAAGATAAATTCAGGTGCATTAAAATTGTAGGGTTTTTGAGGCTGGATGTGGTGGCTCATGCCTGTAATTCCAGCACTTTGGGAGGCTGAAACAGGTGGATCACACGAGGTGAAATGTTCGAGACAAGCCTGACCAACATGCTGAAACCCTATCTCTACTAAAAATTAGCTGGGTGCAGTGGTGTATGCCTGCAATCCCAGCTACCTGGGAGGCTGAAGCAGGAGAATCGCTTGAACCGGAGTCAGAGGTTGCAGTTAGCTGAGATTGCACCAGCTTGTGCAATAAGAGTGAAACTCCATCTAAAAAAAAAAAAAATGGCCAAGCACAGTGGCTTATGCCTATAATCCCAGCACTTTGGGAGGCCAAGTGGGCTGATCACCTGAGACTGGGAGTTCAAAACCACCCTGACCAACATGAGAAACCCTGTCTCTACTAAAAATACAAAATACAGGTGGCACATGCCTGTAATCCCAGCGACTCAGGAGGCTGAGGTAGGAGACTCACTTGAACCTGGGAAGCGGAGGTTGCAGTAAGCCGAGATCGTACCACTGCACTATAGCTTGGGCAACAAGAGTGAAATTTCATATTAAAAAAAAAAGTTGTAGTGTGTTTTTTGAGCAGACAGCAATTCGTGAATCAGTACCAAACCACAAGCAGGGTGGGCTTCACCTAGAAGGTGTGTGAGAAAGTAATTTTGTAAGGCGTGTTTGCACAAGGAGGAAAAAGGAAGCGTTTGATTGGTCAGAGTGGAAAGTCCTGGAGGTTAATGGGTGGTTTCTGATTGGCAGAATGTCTCATTAGAAGTCACTTGGCAGTTTCTGATTGGTTTAAGTTTCCTTCCACTGTTGGGCTTCCATGTGCTTATGTAAGACAGAAGACACCATCTCAGCCTAATGGCCTTCTAATTAATTTTTTTTTTTTTTAACAAGGGCATACTGAATCCTTGGTCCTTGCCTCATAGATTGAAATAATCTGAAAAAAG